TTAGTAACAAGTTATGCTTTTTTTAATTAGTGTTAGTGTTCTTTTCTAGTTGTTTCTATTTTATTTTATTAGGCCATACTTATTCTGAAAGCATATATAAAGGATATACTAATTCTATATTAATTAAAAATTCAATCAATATATAAATTTATTAATCTTAATTAAAAAATCATAATAATATTGTCCCAATAGAGAACTTGAAATGTCTTCCAATAGTAATTATATTTCTAATTAAATGTAACATAAAAATGTCTTCCAATCTAGTATTGCAAAATTCATTTTCTTAAGAAGTTGAACAGAAAATTATAATAAATGACTTAAATCCACCTACATAATAAAAGATATCAGATAAGCTGAGGAAATTATCGGTAAGTTTTCATTTTAAAAGTTGTAATATTTTCATCTTGAAATATAGATATTTAGTCCAACATATATAATATATTATTATATATTAATTGTTAAATTGCAGTGAAAGGACATATTAATCTATTTACTATTATATTATAAATTTAAATATTTATTTAAGAGATTACTCTTCTCACTTTTTTTTATTTTTTTCATTATACAATAATCTCCACAGTCCATATGAGATTAATTTTATAAGATTTTTTTTTTCAAATTTAAACTATTGACAAATTAATCATATAAATAATATATTTAAATAAAATTGCTTATAAAGTAAATCGGTTATTTTTATCCTTATATTTATTCATTTTCTTTCTTTCTTTTTTCATCCACCTTGACTCCTTTTATCTTTTTTCTTTTCTCTTATCTCCATCCAATGACATGTCAAGATATGTCACGGGTACCATTTTAAATTAATTTTGGAACTATCATTTCAATTAATTTCTAACATTAAAATGATTTTTTTACTAATTTAAACTTTATAAAAATATAATTAAACTTTATTATACTCTATATAATATATTATAAGAAAATTAATTTATCACTTTCTTTTGTTATGTCTCCTCTCTCTCCTCTTGCAGTCTTTTTTATTTTTCTCTATTCTATTCTCTTTTTGTTTATATTTTTTTTTCTCATTCGATCACTAATTAAGTTGAATTTTGTAAACATACTTAAGATTTTAAGGTAAAAAAAAATAAACAATAAAACTAAAAAAATTAAACTTTCTGATTGAATAAATTAAAAAACATTTTATGTAGTGCATGAAACAATTAGAAATTTTTTATTTATGATAAAAATAAATAACTAACTTAAAATTATTTATTATAATAAATCAATTATTAGTCTAATTAAAAATATCAAATATTTTACATTAAAATTTATTTATTTATTAATATTTGTTATATTCTGACATGAATAATAAATTACATGTATAATATTATCAAAAGAAATCAAATAAGCTAATTTTAAAAAACATTAAACATTAATTAGTTTTATAAATTAAATTTATATGATTTCATTAGTTTTGTTACAAAATATCTTTTCATAGATAAATAATAAAAACACATCGATTGAATTTAAAAATAATAATAATATAGATTTTTAACAAATATATATTAGTTTTTTATTATATAATTTATAAAAAAATAAATATTTTGTTGTATTATTATATTTTAACAGATAAATATAACTTTTCACTTATGTTATTATAATTTATAATTGTTATAATCTTTAATATGATTAAAATAGAGAAAGTGGGAGAAGGGATAGAAGAGAGAAAAAAATTAGGGAATGATTGAAAGAATAAAAAAAAACAATGGGTGAGGAAAAAAATATCTGTTTAATAATTAAATTTTGTGTATAGATTAGTTTAATTTAATTTTAGTTATAAATTGGTTTAGTTGAAGAAATAAATTATAAAAAATAAATAATTTTGTTATGAAATATATTATTTATGTATAAAATTCAACTTATTTATTATTATTTTCAAATTTAAGTTAAACTATATTTATTACAAATTAGAATTTGTTCAGAAAATACTTGAAATACTTGTTTTGTGCATTTTCAGAAGCATGGAGTCATGAAGGGCTTCAGTATCAGCCCAGATTCCAGAAATGGTAGAAGTCTAATTCCACATTAAGACAATGGACACTTTCGTTTCATTTTATTTCTCTGTTTGGATCTCAAATTTTGGTGCGAAGACGAAGGACACCAAAATTGGGCCTATAAAACAAATTCCAGGGCCTGTGCTATTATATATCATTGTAGGGCCACATATTTGGGTCCTAATGATGGGCCGAAGTTATATCTTTTCTATGGAGCAAAACAAACATGAGCTGAATCATTTAATTTCTTCAAAAAAGTTGTCCCAAAATAAACTTGCAAAATGGAAACAGCAATAAAATACAGATTACATTCTTACTAACAGCCAGAGATAGAAAGATGAAGTGAAAACAGTAAATGAAAACATATTTCCGTGCTTTCCTTAAATATTTTTTTTGTTTGGAAAATATTTAATGTGAGAAACAATATATATATATATATATATATATATATATATATATATATATATATATATTAATTTTCTTGTCTATGCTAAATACACAGTGTAAGTAATAATTTTGCATAAAATAGACACTGGGGCTGGTCGGTGCTGTAAAAGAAAGCAAAAATTTTAATGTTAATAAATAAATAATACGTGCTAAAAATTTTGAAAAAAAAAAAAGTCTTTGGGTTGTTCCAATTATTCAGATCAATGAGACCATCAATTTTTCCAATTCTTGAATTATAAGTAATGTTTTAGTTGAAGGAAAAAAAGATGCTAGAATGAAAAGGAACATATCTAACAAAACTACTTATCATATTTTGAATTGTTTAAAATTAAATATAATATGTAATATGACTTAATCAAATTTATCCCATAGCCTCTTGTAACTATATTTTCCTCTTAAATTTGAATAATTTAAGATAAATCTACATCTTAATGTTTCTCCCACTTTCCTAATTTATTTGGCGTTTTAATAAAATATCATAATGCAATAAAATATTTTTCTCCATTTCATTACATTTTCTCTATCCTTTCACCAATAATCATAATGTGGAATCAAGCCACTAAAATAGTTCATTCACACACAAAAAAAAAAAAAAAAAAACATTAAAATAGTGTGTCGAGGAATAATATGCCATGAGAATGCAAGTCAATGAAGGACTTTGGAGTTAGAAGTACACCATCAGAATAGAGCGTGTTTGATTTTTGTCTCTGAATATATTATTCCCATTCATTAGACACTAAACTTTGTATTCTAGGTACTTGCAAATATAATTTACTAATATATATAATGCTACTATGTTTTTGGATTAAAAATGTTTTTATTGTCTGTTTTCTTTCATTAATACTTCGGTCTTGGTTTTCAAGTTTTTTCTTTTGTCAGATTATGTTAACTGAAAAGAAAACAACGTCGTTGACAATAATGTCTGTCATGCATGTTATATAAAAGTCTAATTTGACGGACATGATAAATTAATATAAACAAGGAACGTGCATTTTACATCTTTGGTTAACTAACACTATGTAATACAAATATTGTTAAAAAAAATAATAGAAATAAAGACAAGTCAATTTTGATCAGAGACTACAAAACAAAAATTTCAAAAAGTCTAAAGACAAAAAAAATATTAAATTTCCTTTAATCCATGTCATCCAAATGTCCTTGTTTTGTTTGTTTTCATGCAACACACAGTAGTTTTATTAAACATTTTTATAATGACTTTTTCAATGCTTATACATACATACGTACAAGTAACAATTACTTTAAAACAAAAAATACCCCAAAAAAAAACATGTTAATAAGCTCCTGCATGCGCTTTTACACTGTAGAAAATCAATGAACTTCAACAAAACACTGTACAAGATTCTTTCTTTTGTTTGATGGTTACAATGACTAGTGACTACTCACCACAACCCCACCCGTGCTACACACACACACACTCTCTCTCTCTCTCTCTTGAGCACACACGTCACATGTAACTTCCTCACTAATAATTCAACGCTGTGGTCCCTTGGGCCCTTATCAGTTATCACCCCACCACCCATGGCGCAAGACAACTTTTCACACTTTAAAATTTTAATCAGTGCTCACACAAATCATCTAAACACCAATAATAGTACTAACAGTAAGAAGGTCATTTAAATATGAAGAAGATAGAAATTGAAAAAAGCACGTAACTTTCTCATATCATGAATGCGTGACTACATGGGCAAAAGGACAACAGTAACAGTAACAGTAACACCAACCACATTAAATTACATCCGACCAAGATATCTCACCCTCCCTCCCCTTCCCTTCTTTCTTCTGTAACAAGTCCTTACATCAATTACGATACACCCTCCAAAGGAAGCCCATAATAACAATAATAATAACAGCACTAAACACAACACAAAAATCAGTGTTTCCCACAAGCGTGGTGTTACGTTACTGTGCCATCCATCCGTCAAGTAGAAAAATAGATGAGGGTAGGGGCCCCACTCTCTCTCACTTCACACCAAAAGCTAGCGATAATTTTTACATCAGAAAAAAGGCAAACCCACAAAGGATTGAACACGACAAGGTTACAAAAAGAGGAAGTGAGTTTGGGGCCCATAACAGCCAAGAGGCGTGCACTCTCGTTTTTGGGTACTTTTCGGAACAACCAGTCTTCTCGTTCAAAAACAGCTCACACACCCCATGCCAGCGTTAGTACTACTTTCTCTAACCCCCCATGACATGGACTAATCATTCATTTCTCTCTCTCTCTTTTTTCCTTTATTGCTGCATAATACGCTGAATACCTCATCTCTTTCTTCACACACAAATTACATTACACAAAACCACCACCTCATTTCCCTATATCTTCAAACAACTTAATAATTGTGCAATGGCTTCTTCAAGGGATTCATTTCACAATTCTACACAATTCACAATCACCACTTCCTCGCTGAATACATCCAAGCGTTTGATAATTAGAAGTGAATATCCATACCTTGTTTATTATTCTGAAAACACTAAGATAACATACTAAATAAGTAATATTGTGATGCTGTTTTCCAATTCTTCAACTTATATGGCATCAAGTCCAAGCTCTATGGCCTTTAGTTTCAATGATTTCAAACAACGTATGGCTTCATCAAGAAGCTCAATTGGCTCCTTGTCCTTTCCACCAGGAACTATGCATTGCAGAATGCTCAGAACATCTTGAATCTTCTCCTTTCTCATCTTTTTATTGCCTGACAAAGAACCCACTTCACCTGACCCTCTACTAATGTTTCCAACACTGGAGCATCTTGATTCTGCATCATCTCCAACTTCAAAGGGTCTTTTCCCATTCAGAGAACTAGCAGTGTCCACGAAGTGCATGTCCTCATCATAAGCCCCGTCCCACAGCTTTCGCTTCTTTGTTTCTCCAAAGGAGCTAGCAACTTCTTCAGCCGTTCCCTTATCAGGTTCTTCCTGGTTATCGTGAGTGGTCATTGTACTGGGTGAATGTCCTGTGCTAGTAACTTCATCATCATCATCGTCGTCCTCAGTAGAATAACCATCACTGTCAGAGTAAAGCAATGCATTGATTTCCTCTGTGTCTTCATGCATCTCACTTTCAATGTCATCATCAGTTCCCTGATTTTGATCAACTTTATCATCCAGAGCCGGTCCATGTCCAACCATATCATTCACATCTCTCCTCAAAGATAGCAATTCATTCCCGTTGTTCAAATTGGTAGATCCATGAAGCTTTGAATCCCAGGAAGTAAGGCACTCAACAGGCCCACCAAACCTTGAACTATAAACCAGAGTTGTTTGATCACCAGTTTGATCAATAACCAGGAATTGCTTCTGAGGGAAACCGGACGCCCCAATGGGGGCAATTTCCTCCCTAAAACCTTTTGCATGGCTAGCAGGAAGTTTTTCCTCTGCAGTGAAGTTTCGAGCAGGTGCAGTAAATCCCTGCCGGAAGCGAGGCAAACAATAAAACCAACCATGAGGTTCACCAGAATGTCCTAACTGCGAATGAGGCAGCCCAGAGGACAAATAAGCTGGCATTGTAGCGTCTCTTGCGACCGAGTTGGCAACTGGATTCATAGCTGCAGTAGTGCCATTTTGCTTCCCCATGCCAAACGGTGCAGCATTGAAGGAGCTCAAATTGGGAGATTGCCAATCAAAAAGCAGCTCCGGAATCCAGGTTTCACAATTTTCTCCCATTCAACCACAACAATCACCTAAAAAGGATTTTCAAAGCACACTGCTAATCAGCAAATTACGTCTGATGTAAGAAATGAATGAATTCAAAATTAACAATGCAAAATGTACCTGAAGAAAAACGATTCAAACACAAGTGCTATCTTTTACTATTGGTAACTCTCTCCAACAAGGAAAACAACAAAACCACCGGCTTGACCCAAAACGAACAAAGAAAAAACTATTACGTGACAGGCTTGAGCAAATGACGGAAGTATTCAGCCTGAACAACACCCAGAAACAAAAATCATTATCAGTACATCTTTTCCATAAAGGTCATGAGAAAAATTAAGAGATCGTAAATGCAAAAATGATAAAAACTTCGATGAGTTTCTTCAATCCAAGGAAAATATATACCTGGCAATCTATGAGAGGTTGAAAGCATGCCATAACTCTAACTATAATGGTAGCAGATCCAGCAGTTCCATTCTCGTGTTTCAATGCCCGAAATCTCGTTTGACTTGCTGCTTGGCACACCATAACTACTTTTCCAACCCTTCAAAATGGAAGAACAACGATGTTCCCAGAGACAATGAATCTGAAATCTGAATCCTCCCAAGCCAGTGGAGCCGGTTTTGACGAATTGAACAATAATACACTGATTTAACTGATCTACAATCTAGCAAGCAAAAAAGGCTAGAAACTAATGACTACTAAAATGCTGAAGAGACTAATCAAACTAGACCTAGTTGAACAGAAGAGGTAGAAACAAGATGGGTGGCTTTTTTCAGCTGATCTGACGAACATAACAAGGGACGACAACAAAAAAATTGGACCCCATTGATTAAAAGTCGAGGAAGAGATGAGTGAGAGGATTGAAAAAGGTTTTGATCAAAGGATCTTGAATTACAGAATAACTTTGCAATACAGGTTCAAGGAAATCACTTTACGGTATACATCAACAGAGAGACTAAGCCACCACCGCATGCTGTTGTATCCTTATCCACAAAAATATGAAGCCACCACTACTCCTTCACCCAAAAGCCGGTTCAACACCCTGCAACAGAATTCACACATCACAGATCTACCAATTAGCATAGTTTAACACCTTTAAATTCAGCTCAAGTAGAACCAAATAATTGCAATAAGATCAAAACAAGAAAAAAAAATATTTTCCTTTTTCTCATTTTTTTTGTCCTTTCCTGAATCTGTTGTCGCAAAACAAAACCTTCAGGACAGGCTAGTGATATTCAGTGAACCTAGGGTCAAATTTGTCATCAAGGTTGAGAAAATTTAAATTAAAAACTGAGACTACTTACAATTTACAGCAATGAGCAATCAAAACAAGAACATACATAAAGACTCAAGAGCATCAAGTTCAAGAATGGAAACTAAAAATTACCTAAAAGAAATATTTTTTTAAGAGGAAACAATTTCCCACACAAGATCTCATATGCGTGAATTGAAACTCTGAGACTAGGCAATTGTTCCAAATATTAAATTATCCCAGAACAAACAACCAAATTTGGAAACAAAACATAATCACGCACATAAAGAGCAACTAGACAAAACACAAGAGTGGTGAAAAAGAACAAGATGAAGGAAATCGAAGAAGAACTTACAAGGATGTGTGGAGAGAGAGAGAGAGAGAAAAAACGGAAGCTGTTGAGAAGAGGGAGCAAGCGTGACTATGGTACAGTCAAAGTGGAAAGTGGAAACTGTGTGTAACCAAGACGAGAGAGGAGGAATTGAGTTATATAGAAAATGCATTGACACATATACCCTTCAGTGAAGTGCATCAAAATAATAATTTATAGGAAAAAAAAAATAAAACACGGGTTAAAGTAATAAAAGAAAAGAAAAAGAAGAAGAAACTTGTTGTTGAGAGTGGTGTGGAAGGTTGATTCGGTGATTCATGGATACGTGCCCGTGCGTGAGGGTTGAGGACGCAAGAGTGCACGCAAACTATTAAGTGCACAATCATGAACCACAGTAACCTAAGCCAAACTCAGGTTAAGTTAAGTTAATCAATCTCTCACCTCACACTCCTCTGTGGCCCCCTCGGTAGTTCTATCATCACCTTCTCAATGTTTTTGTTTGGTCAATGAATTACTCACCCTCACCCACCACTCTTCACCTAACCATGTTCTCAGGTTCCAATCTAACCACGCGGTGTGGTTAGCTGGTTGGTTGCCTTGGCCTTGTCCCGGTTCCCCTCCACGAATCTACATCATGTGCACACCTTATTATTATAACGCCAAGGTTAAACAAACCCACGCCAATTTCCCATTATGCCCTCCAAATCATCATAATTATTCACCAGCTATCTAGGCCCCAACCAAGTCCCACCTCTGCAAAAATGAAATTCTGTACGGTCGTTTCAGGAAATCTGCAAGTAGTTTTCCATGTTGCAATGAGAACAACCCACACCACAAAAATTTTAAATAAATAACCTATTTCTGTGATTCATGGATCCGACAAAGGATTCGCGTTTCCCTCGTTATGTGCTCTACTATGATGCTATCCTAGTTATTTTGGTCATTGCAAATCCAAATGTCTTGTGATTTTTTTTTCTTTTAAATTGCTAGGTAGAAAAGCCTATGATTTTATTTATTTATGTCAATTCAAATATATATAAATACTTGAATTTACCAGTTATGTTTCATTAGCATGCATGCTGCTTCTACACTGTTATTGTCATTCTTACGCGTTACTTTTTCTCCATCAATAACATTGTCTATATCACGCGTTTAGACTAATAAGCAAGGCTATATAGATTCTATTATCTTATATGATAACTAGTCATTCCAAACTTGATACTTCAATTATACATATCCTTTGATTACTTTGCATAGCTTCTATCATCACCACCAACTTCTTTTTTTCTTTTCACTCTAATATTATTCGTATAATAAGATTTTTCATAAATTAATTTTTTTCTTTATTCTTAACTTATATTTCTCTCGTGATTTAGAACAAAAAGTGTGTAAATAAACTCGTTTATAGAAAAATAAATTAATGTCTATTTTTCTAATAATCCTTGTGTGATTTTCTAAAGCTATATATGTATATTGTAGACTTAAACTATTATTGAATGTAGTTATTTAACCTGCATCTTAAAATGCATGCAACCTGTTCTGATCTTAAACTTTACAATAACTTGAGTATTCTTTTTAATTTCATGATCCACTCCGCTTTCCTCTCACGGTATCATTTCAGGACTGTGTATGAAATCCACGATTACCCTACACACTTCAATAGTCCCTTTAGCCATGTGGTACAGTGAAATCTCTATGCACAGGTAAACGCATGCTTGGTTTAACTTTTTTTTTTTTCAGACAAATAACTAATTATTTTAATATTAACAAATTCTTACTAAAAGAAAAAGAAAAACTAAAACAAACGCATATATAAATAAACCCTAAACATACAAATATATAAATGTATACTATCCACCTAGGATGGAAAAATGACAAGAATAGAAACACTAGATCTAGAGGTGATTTGTTGTGACAGATGTTTATGGTTTTATAGGATAATTTAAGTCTATGAATAATACTTCATACATTTAAATGAATAAGAAGAATCTGATTTGTTGGCATATATTGATTTTAACATTATGTTTATAGTTAAGGTATTTTAGAATATATATATATATATATATATATATATATATATATATATATATATTTAAAAAATGGTTAATTAAATATTAAATGACATTTGAAAAGATATAAGTTGAAAAAAATGGGGATGGAAAAGAGGGTGGTTTGAGATGAAGATGAATAATTTATAGCTTGACCATTCAAAGGGGGAATTATAGAGAGATAGGATGGGGACCCAGGGATGAGGAAATAGTGGTATGAGATATGATATTATATCTGTCTCAGACACCACCTGAGGGTGTATTTTCTGCTTATTAAGCATGGATGGCCTAACTTTAGGGTTGGGACTTTGGGTTAAAAGCTTAGTAGGCGTTGGTCCCGCCAAAGACTACCATTATACTTTCTATTGATGTGATATGTGTAATGGATGTGCCTTAACCATCGCTTCCCTCCTGCAACCACCTCATTTACTACAACTTTTCCTCAAATCTAGAGATTATCAGTTTCATCAATTTTCATCACTCATACGTATTTTTATATGTGATAATATAATAGAATCATTAGATGTTATTGAAGATGATAAAATAATCTCTTTTGTAATAAAATCTCATATCAATAATATAATATTTAATACATAATTAAGTATGTGATGATTTAGTTTTTAAGAAAGTAACAACTGAAATCTCACAAAGATTTTTCAGAAGCAGAGAGAATCTTCTTCCCTCATATCTGATCTGTTTACAGCAGATTCTAGTGTTGTGTGTAAATAGAGTTTTCTGAACCTAACCAAACATGAAGAAGAGCTATCACGTCAGCAACAAATTTGCCAGGATTTCGTGGATAGAATTATTTATGTCCTATTTGGTGAATTTTGATGGAGAGATTCTGTACCACACTGCAGTGTCTCTGATAGCAAATTGTTTTCTGGGAATTAAGCAGTGATTCGTAAATTATCTAAAGTTTAACTCCTAATTGATGGAAAAGTTATTAGCGTTAACGGGTAAATTTGGTGGTCACCACCATGGTGGATGGATGAGAAAAATTGAAAGACTGCTCCACTTTATACGCCGGTGGATAGATGGTTGCGATTTGGTTTTGTTGTTTCTCACGCTCTGACTCAAACCTTTTTTTCTGTTTTTATTTTTGTACTCTGACTCAAACTTTCTACACCCACACTTTGCCCTACTTTTTGTTTCGCTCCTTTCTCTATCATCCCCATACCCACAACTTTTTATTTTGCTTTTTTATTTCTCAACATCTTTTCTTCCTTTACTTTATACTCCCAACTACCAATTTTATAAATCTTACCAATCTTCTTCCAATGTTCTTCATGTGATTATGTGAATTATGCCAATGCCTCTGTTTATTAGCACGCACCACACCATCATTATCATTGGAGAGGAGTTATCATCCTTCTTCATTTCTTAATATTTAATAAAAAACATTTAATCTTTATATAAAAAAAAGTTCTTAAGAGTTTAAAATTCACTCAAACCGCTAATAAATGTTTGTGTTTACCAATAAACACTTATGTCTGACTATGATAATTTATATTTAATAGTTTGTTTCATGCTTCATTTTAACATGTATTTTTCATTTAATAAGTTTAGGCCATACTTTCTAATTAATTTTTTTAAGCTTCCAATTAGATTATCGATTATTTTTATTAAACATAATCATAAAAGATTTGAGAAGTTAGTTTTCAAAATTGGTTTTTCTCCTATTTGAGTGATAAAATATAAAAGATTCTTATTTCATTTTTTAATTTCAAAATTATATTTTATAAGTCATTTTTTATTCGCGAATCAACTTGGCCTATCATATTTTTAGACAAACTGGTGATAAACCATGACACACATTCATCCATTTTGTCAGTTTTTTTTTAATGTTAAGATAAATTTCTCCTTCAAAACTTATAAAATATGAATAATGAAATTAAATAAATTCATTAATTTTGTTATAATAAATAAATTTATAAACTTCATTTTAATAATAATAAACAGATCTTTTTAATTTTTAATCTTTTATTTGGTTTTCAACTAGTGCCTTGTTACTTTAGAGATAGTTTTTGTTAGAAATATGGTTCGACATTTAAGTTGAACAATTTATACAGTAAATTCATTCCTTTCGTTTGTCAATTATTATTATTAACTGAGTTTATTGATTCGACAGGTATAATGAGCAAATTTAATTTTGATTTTATAAAAAAAATGTTTTACAACATTTAAAATTTTGAAAAAACTATTTTTAATCATCATAAAATGATTGAGTTTTAGTTCTAGTCCATTTCTTATTTTTAATTTCCACCCCTTCAATTTTGAAATCTTGTTTTATTTTAATATTTATTTTTAAGATGAATAAATAATATTCTTTTTATTCATATCTTAAAATGTATTTAGAAGTGTAAGATGTTCTCATTATATCAAATACATCAATAAACATTCTTTAATATGACCAATTAATTTTTTTAATATGAAATTAATTAACAAGTACACATATATGATTCAAACGCAACGTTTTTTTAAGTCTAAATAATTTTTAGAGGATACAATGAAAATATTTTATTTTAGATCAGCTATACATTTAAGCTTTCAATTTATTTTATCTCTTTATTTTATCCTCCTATGAATTATTATATTATATATGAAACATATTAATGTTTATCTAAACAATATGCATCATTTTACCTCATCAAAACCAATGTTTAATTTCACACTCAAAATATTTAATCTTTTACGTGAAAGGGTGTATTAAAGATCTCATTATAGTTAAAAAAAAACGATCCAAATATATTTTTTAATTGAAAAAACAAGTGATCTAAATAATCACAAAGAAAATAACAATGATTCCTAGTTTTAATAAGAAAACTCTTTCTTGAAAAAACATTAGCAACAAAAAGATTACACTTCCTTGATAAGGTAACTCTGTATCCTGTCTTCAATTCATCCAATATAAAGCACAAGGCGTAAAAATAAGAGGAGAAAAAAAAATGCGTATAATAATATTTCATGGAGTTTCGAGTTTTTTTTACTGTGTAGGGGATAAATCTACATGGTTACAGTCGTGGGGACAACCATGTTATGGTGAAAGGGAATCAAAGAGAGAAAAAAAGAAAACATTTTTTCTAATGATGTGACAAAATTTAATTGGAAAAAAGTTATTCACTTTCGACATTGTCATATTATTTATACAACATTTTCCTACAATACTTTATAACTTTTTTTTTATTATTATTATTCCCCTCTTTCTAAACCATCTTATCAGTTATCGTATTCTTTTCTCTACTTTTGTCTTATACACGTGTTCACGAGTTATCAACTCTACAACTAACCTACTTGTGTTTTAATATTTAGAAATGTGAAAGATTAATATGAATATATGACATGTGTCATGCATGCGGGTGTTAAAAGCACGCGTATATAAGCTTGTTTTTGGAGGTAGGATTTGTGAGTAGTCTTAACCTTATCTGTGTTTCACCTCTGCACTGTCGATGGAAAACAATGTCAACCCCAACCCCATAAAAGTAATAAATAAAATAATGAAAAGGAGAAGCAGAAGACTGTGAAGAAACAGGGTATGGTACCACCCTAGTAAGAAAATACAAAGGGATGTGTAACCCATGATTTTATCACCTGAAACAAATCTTGTGCACAGAGAAGAAGATCTCTAGGCACCCAATAAAATAGGCACTCTAAGCATATTAAATTGATAAGAAAATGTATACTTTCATGCCCTCTTGTTTGGAGTGAAGGGAACAATCAACCAGCCCAATCAAGTTCCTCCCCTTCATCCCTATCCTATTGGGTCTAACCTTTTTGGTGGCACTTCGACAGCTGCCACCAAATACTAATCAAGGTGCAAAGCATCAATTCCTTTTCCATTAAAAAAACTATCCCTTCGCATATGAGTCAATAAATAAAGCCAATTCTTCTGCACGTCTGTGTGTTATTTTATCATCATGGTCGCTTTATTACCAGATTTTTTAATATATATATATATATATATATATATATATATATATATATATATATATATATATATATATGCTACCTTTGAAAATAATGCCATTTTGGAGAACACGACATTACCCAACCAACCAACAAGAAATCTCCATGGCGTGATAGTTAAAATTTTATATTTTTACTAATAATATAAAGAACTAGTATGAATATAATGGTGAAAAAAGTTGGGGATGTAAATAAATTTGAAAAGATCGTGAAAGAAATATGATTATAATTTATGGAAAATATGGGATTTTTGTGGGGGATGAAAGTACGAGAGTGTGTGGGACATGAGAGCATGGAGCCATTTTGGTTGTGGATTCTCCAACAGAAACAACCACGCTTCCAAAGCTAATAACGCTCTCTCCATCATCCATCCATTCATCACTTCCCACTAAAAGCCTTAAGGCTTGTTTTTCTTTTTGAGAATAATACCACAAACCAATGCAAAGTTAGACCAAAAGCTTATAGTATTAAGACCACCCACTTCCTTACACTTTTTTTCCCACCCAAACCTTTTTCTCTTGTTCACACTCACATTTCCATTCTCCCCAAACCAAATATTCATTGCCACTTTCATCACTCTCCGTTTATCGTTTTACCAAAAACAACTCCAACAATTTCTTCATTTTCTCTTTAATGCCAAACTACCACCTCGTTCAAATGGGTAATCCACTAGCTATGTTAGCTTCATTTTGTTACAGTTTTCAATTTTCATCACCAATACACGTGTGTCCACCATTCTCCTCATTTCCACCACAATTCCAATTTAGCTCTCTTGCACATTTGTGATTAATTACATGTGTCCCTTGCATCGCAATAAAACATAAGAGAATTGAGATTGCTATGTTTATTTTTGGACGAAATTGACAAGGTAAATCTTAAACAGTGATGATGTTAAATGCAATAACTTCACATATATTCCATCACAAGCAAGTTATCAAGTGGTGGAAGAGTTCAATTTAGTGAAGATCAATCATATTGTTTTGAAATATTGGAGTGAAAGGGTGATTCCGATCATCCACCCACCATTTTTTTGGTATGTATTCCCATAATATCATCTTTAAAGCATCTTAAACGATACTTATTTATACAAGTTTTTTTATAAATTACATATATTATTTTAATATAGGTCTCATACATAGAAAAATGTTTAAAATAGATGAAAATTGTTAAGAAATATCTTACTATGAATAAAAATATTATTTTATTGTGAATATATATGAATTGCTTCAAATATAAGTAATTTTTTAAAATCTTATACCATTTTTTTCATTTTTAATCAACTTGTTTCTAATATCCATAATAAAATAATATTTTTATTTCTAAACCATTTTTATAAGCAACTTTTTTAAAAATATTCACATTAAAATAATATATTTTATTCATTTCACCTCTGAAATACTTGTATACATTTCTTCTAAACTTAGATATATTATCCACGCATTTGCTTCAACATTTCTTATTTCTTAAAACAAAACAAAAAAATTGGGAAGAAACGTGTGTGAAATAATTATAATTTGATTAAAAATCATTTTTAAAACATAAAAAAAAACAGTATTTATTTAGTTGTTGACAATTTTCGTGTTTAACATTATTGAAAATCATTGTTATAAACAATACTTTTAAAAATTAATATTTTTCTCGTAAGGTTAAAACTTGTACCTAAGATATTAATTATTTATAAAATATAGAAGCTATGTTTTGTAGATTTACTTCCAGTAATTAGTTTAAAACGTGAAAAAAACTCGTTTATATATTGAAAACTATGAACCTTTATTGAATTATAAGTGCTAGATTATAATTTTAAATTTTATATTATTAGTTAAATATATTTTGGGTATTAATAACTTTAATTTTCTTGTTTAATTTATTTAATTATTTATTTATAAACATTTGTTTTAATTTCAATTTATTCTACTATTAGTCTTATATTAAGCCTTAATTTTAAATAACATATGATTTATGATCATTAAATATTACATAATATATAATGTGACGCTCTTTCCTATATATAATATCACTAATACTAGAACAAGACGAAGTCAACGTGGATACCACTTATTTTTTATTTCCAATCTAAATTTCAATATTTAAAAAAGAAATTATTCAGTCTTAAAAAGAATATTATATGAAAATGTAAATTATTTAGCATAAATGTAAAAGTTAATTTGTACGAAAAGATGTGAATGAGTAGTGGATTGTGTGTGCATGAGACATGTGTTTACTATTTTCAGTAAGAGGAATGATGATGTGATTGTAAACGTTAAGGAAACAAAAGGAAAAAACATATATGGAATTTCTCATCGATCACACGTGGGATAGTAGCTATAAGTGGAGTGTGGTGGATGTGAATAATGTATAGTGGAACTAATATTAGGGTTATTATTATAGCAATGTTTTTGGAATGTGTACTGGAGAACACATTATGTTTGATGTAGTAATGAGCAAAGAGTTGTTATGAGTTGCATCGTGTGCCCATTTCTACGCAATAATATGGGCATGCATTGTCAATTGACTCCAAACCAATAATAATTCCCTACACCCTCCTTCTACACCACTCTACTTTTTTTTTTCTTTTTTTCCAAATTATTTGCAAAACCTTCAAAATTAATGCCATCATTAGCATTACCCTCTATTTCTACAAAAGCTACTGTGGAGTTCTCCATTGCGTTCTTCAAGTGGGGTTAACTTTTTGTGTTTCACTTGCGTTTCAAAGTCAAAATTATCCACCTGAGATGCCGTTTTAATCATCATATTTGCTCAAAGACCAGACAATTAATCAAAGAACAAACCCTAATTCTGACCGAGAAGATTTTGCGTAGGGCCCCTTCCCTTCTCAAGAACCGTGCAGACAAATACTTTACCACTTTGTGGTAACTAGCTAGCTATAAGATACATAACTTAGGGATTTGGGATGTGATCACGGTTTAGAGAGTTAATTACGTTATTTTAAACGAAATAATAGAAAATTAACCATATTAAGCTATTCTTATTCTTTTTGCCAAGTTTTTAAGCTTGTTATAAAATTCCAAGTATACACCGTGGAGGAAATTTAACATATGTTAACAGAAAATAGATTTTTTTTGTTCGACTGGTAATAGATTCATGCTCTTAAATAAGTTTTAGATTTGAGTTTTGTGGATGAAAAAACATGATTGAGGGAGAATATTCAATTCAATTAAATCTAATTAACCAGAAAAAATTATAAACATTGTGAATATTTTGTACGAAAAACATAATCAAAAAATATATTAAATGAATTCCTTTTTTTACGGCAAATTATGCAAATACTTTTTACAATAGCTATTTTTATAACCTACAAAGTGAATATCTTAATTCATAGTTTTTTATAAAATAACTTTAGTAAGAATTTTAATTTTGTATAGAAAATATCGTACTGATAATAAATCAACAACACGTGAAGGGGGTGTTCAATAGTTTAGTTTTAGAAAAAAAAAAAAAAAAACTAAACCATGATATTTGTTTCAAACACCCCTAAATACATAAAACCTTTGTTTATTTATGATTAATGATTAATATTCCTTTTTATTTGTTCTCGCACGAGGGTGATCAAGTGAATTGAACTAAATCGTAAAATTTTTGAATAACAATATAAAATAATTTGCTCAAACTAAATTGCACTGAGAAACCGTTCGAGAAATTAAATTGAACAAATTTAATTATTTAAATTGTATTATCGTTACATATTGGAAGAGAAAACCAAAATTATTTATCTTCCAGTTCAAATTTATATACGAATTCATTTAGTAATGTATACAACAAATATTTTTAATAGACAAAATCTATGTAATAAACTAATATTAATATCAAAGGCTTAATAGGTAAGTACAGAATATTAATAATAATGATAATAATAATAATAATAATAATAATAATAATAATAATAATAATAATAATAATAATAATAATAATAATAATAAAAACAAAACATTGAGTATAAGCACGAAAGGTGCTGCAACTTTTGATGGTAGTTTTTAATCTATTGAGATATACTTTTAATATTGAAATATTTTTAACAAAAAAAGTTACAACTTGGAATTAATTTTACTGATAAAAAATAACAATTAAAAACTCATCTAGAAGAATCGAGGACTTGAAAAAAAGTAGTGGATGTTATATAGGAAAATTATTTTCCAAATAATATTATAGGTAGTGCATTAAACTACTTTTTAGTGGAACTAAAAATAATAATTTATTTTATTTCAATAATAAACAAAAAAAACGATTTTTTTTTTACAGTTTAGTTTAATTAACTATTTTGTACTAATTTCGTTAAATCAAATGACACGTAAGATAACTTTTTTCTGTAGTTCGGATATTCTCTTTTCACTCTTTATACCAAACAAACAGACCATTCATACGTATTGCATAATCACATCCAAAAGTTAAAAAAAATGGAAAGAGCTATTTATTATTTAAATTTTTAATATGAAAATAATATTAATTATGTAAGAATTGAATTTAATCCAAAGACACCATTAACGGGTGGTAAGAAGAAGAAGAAGTGGCATTAAACCACCCCATTCTCCATCTAAACCAATGACAAGGCATGAGAAGGTGCACGCGCCACGTGTCAGGGCTTGACGAAAAAGGCCAAAACAGTAATTCACATACAAAAAACAAACATACACAAACTAACAAGGGCAGTGCAATAATTGTCTATTATTTGAAAACATAATTAAATTGGTAGTACTAATTTAGTACCGTACGACATTATTAAACGAAAGCAAGATTAAAACCGAAGGAATTGAAAAATGGGAAGAAAATCTGAGAACCCCGACCACCAAATCTCCGGCACAGTGAGAAGCAGCAGACACAGACTTTGGCAACAAAAGTCGCACACGCGGATTCAGAAAAATAAAATTAAAAATAAGAATGGTTTAATTAACACGCCGTCTTATGTAATCCTTTTCATTATTTTAATTAACTTTTTTATTTTTTTTGTTGTTGCATATTTTAATGCAACAGAATTGGTGGGTGAGGAATGAGAAGTAGTAAGAATCTGAGAGAGATTTATTGGCGCATGCAGTGGTGCACGCTCTGGCTCGAGGATCCACAAAATGAGGCTAATAATATTACCGGGTCAAACCGTTGTTAAATGCAAGTGTTGTGTGTTGTTATTATGTGTGAGAAATTGCAAGCGCAGGCACGCCACGCGAACTGTCTCTGTCGTTTTGGGAGGTAGGATGTGCCGTACGAATGCGGTGGAGGAAGCAATGGGAGAGTGACGCGTGGCGATACGTGGGTCCATTGAGAAGCGGCGATCGCGGAGGTGTAGCCGCCAGTGGCGTGGTTTCTGGCCTCTGCTCTTTCTTTGGAGTCTTGTGCCTCTTTTCCACCTTTTCCGCTCCTTCTCCTTCTTATTTTCACTTCCCCTTCTTTTACCTTCTTTTTATTTCTACCTTCTCCCCCAATTCTCATCATTTCTTCAAATTCTCCCAAACTAATATAATCGTAACTCCAATAAAACCTAAAATGAATATTAATAAATAAATAACTAAACTCAGGTCTACATAAATGCATAAAGTCAATAATTATTTATCTTGACTTAATGTTGAAACTAGGCTCTTCTTTAAAGGGCCTACGTCAAAGTCCAGTTCCCCAATTGACTGAGCCCTCCTCACCTTGGGCCGTCACACCCTATGGCCTTATAAAGAGAAAGCCTGTTTCTCTTTACTTTCTTCCTACATCTCCATATTTATTTAAAATAATAATATCATCCTTAATATAAATATATTTTAAATTATGTTTTTAAAAATAAATTTTAAAAATTGATCCTAAAATATTATTTCAAAAATTTTAAATATACTTTCAGAAAATATAATCCACAAATAAATTTTAGATTGTATTTTTCAGATGTATTTTTATTTTTTATATAACTGTGTTTTGAATTATATTTTTTTTTAATTTGAAATAATTTTTTTAGAAAACACATTTTTCAGAACATTGGATTGTATTTTTAGAAATGTATTATGAATTCAACAATTTAAAATACTATAAATGCAAATAAAATATTTTTATTTTACCAGATTTTTTAATAGACAATATACATTCAAAACATAAATTTGTAACTTTAAAATTAAAATAATGCTTGAATGAAGATTCAAAAGATGCAGGTGTAGATACTGATAGGGATGTGTAACTCCGAAGAAGAAAATTGGTCTTTTGATATTTTACATATATTATATGGAAATTATTGGAGGGAAGAAAGAAGCAGCAAAGAGAAATACCATGAGCCCATTAACCTTTAAAGGCCCAACTTTATTACGACTTTTTTTCTTCTTGCACCCCAAAATCACTATAGATATAAAAACAATCTGAATCTGGTAGTAAAAACAGGCTAAGTGGACCGAAATTGTGGTGTAAATTAAATGAGATAGTTTTTATCTTACCATTTAGTCTGTGGTTAAGAGAACTTAGATCAGACAAGCTGTAGTTTTAACCTAGTCGATTTTCAAAATAGTAGTTTTATTTTAAAAAATTGAGAGTAATATAATTTTATTAAATCATATATATATATATATATATAATATGACTTATATATAAAATTATTATATTTGAATAATAAAATATTTTTATTTCTGTGATTTAAATTTAAAATTATTAATTTTTTAAAATATAGTCAAAATAATATCCCATTTTAATAGGTCTGGACTCTTACTTTTGTAATATTTTAATATTTTGAATGGAAAAAAGTGTTTATAGTTCCTATACTTTTGTTTAAATTTGATTTTAGTCCTTTTACTTTTTAAGTCTATGAATTTATCCTTTAAATTTGGTTTTAGTCCTTTTACTTTTAAGTCTATGAATTCATCCTGAAACGTTAAAAGACATAGTTAGTTTTCCTTCTAATTTTGTGTCGTTAAAAGAATAATTAAATATTTAAACTAATTTTTACATATTTTTAAAAGTTGGATCAATAATTATAGAAACTAAAATCAACAAATTTGAAGAATAAAAACATACTTATAACCCTTTAAATAAATTTTCAAGATTAAACTAATTTTACACATACAAGCGTTGATTTCTAATCAACCAGTTTTTTCCAAATTATCAAATGCGTTATGAATTTTAAACATAAACAAAAAAAAAAGCTATTGCAAAATATCTTGCACATAAATGTTTTCTATAAATAGAATGTGATCTTAGAATGTCTATTCCATAATACATTATTAATTATGAAACATATGATCTGTAATAAACAATATATTATAAAACATAATTTGTCAGATGCTTTACATAGTAATCCATCAAAGTATTATATTTGCAAAATTCATCAAATTATAATGGTTGAGATCTTCCGGTGAATTTAATTTTATTTAGTCTCAATTATAACGATACACATTCCTGATCTAAAACACAACTTTACTTTATGTTTGGCATGAAAACCCAAGAAACTACTAGGTTCTCCCTCTTCTTGTGAACATATTAGCCCAAATTAACCTTGTGGCTTTCAACTTGCATGATCAAATTTGTATAAACACTTAAAAGCTCAACCCCTCAGATGTTGGAAGCATCTTAAAAATGATTATGGTTATCACTAAGCTAGGTGTTACAATTGTATTTGTAATTATGATTAAAGTTTTGTCCTATGATAGGATTTGGGAAGACAAGACAGCTTTATTGTTTTGTACAATTCTTTTTGGTGCTTGCGGAAAGGAACTTATCAGACCACCAAACAATGGTCTAAAACATCACTCGGTCAAAGTGTCCAATTGAATTGCTGACAGGGCAAACTGTAGTAAAAGCAACACCCGTATGGTGACAGGACAGTAATAGTATTTATTTTTTGTACCTTCCAAAATATATATTATCTTCTGTGAACTTTTCAGAAACTGCAAAACTCATTATTAAATAAGGTAACCAATAAAATAAGGATAATGACAAAAAAACGTAAATGCCGCAAATATTTCTCAATACTAAAATAATTTTGTTTGATATTTTTGCCTTTTGGTTTGGGCTTCTATTTTACTCCATTGAAAAGTAATGCGACAAAATGTACTTGTACAAATACACTAGTCCTTGTTCCCCCTCTATCACTACCTCTTTTGTAGCTGTTAAAAAGACCTATAAAATATTTAACAGCTGGTGTTGAGTAATCACCTCCTGCTTGGAGCATGAAGTGTGTTGATTCCATTCCTTAAAATCTCTCACCAGTCACCATCCATCTTTATTTGTTTTGCACCCTTTATGCTTCTTCTTTTTTATTTTTTCCATTTTCCCTATCTATCTTCCTTGACTGGGGTATTCCCTTGAGAGGGCACCTTCAAAATACATAACATCTTTTCTTAAGAAAAAGAATCCTAGGAATGACTCTAAAAATCACAAGCCACAATGGTTATTCTCCAAAGGTTTTGTCTAGCTTCCTCCTTTTAGCATCTGGACTATCATTATGTGAAGAATTTGCACAAGGAGGAGCATTTGGGTCATCACTTTTGTAGCTGAAGCATGCATTGTTCAACACCCCTATTGGGCTTTCAGGCATGCTCGGGACAGAAACCGAAGCACTGGCATCCTTAGCAGAACCACTGTTTGATGACAGCTCTTGGATCATTTTAACGCACTTCAAGACCCTCTCCTGCCAAATACAAAAAACAAAATAGGGCAATGGACACATTAATTAAACCGTGCCAACAATAAATTGCATTTGATACGATACATCTTACAAGTAATCAACTTGAAATGATCAGGCTCAAAAAGGAAAACCATCATTTATATATGTGTTCACTTTTTTATTGCCATTGGACCACCACCGTATTTACCTTTTCTACGAGCTGAATCAGATCAGAAATTGCTTTCTCTGTGTGAACTGCTCCGCCATCCCCCACCACAGATATTGCCACTGCTGCTGCAATCTCTGAGGGTCTGGACTCTATGAAGTCAATTCCTGCATTGGATTCCCGTTCCTCAAATTATCATATTTACTTCCTTCCTAGCATATTTAATATTGCAGCAGAGAGTTAGGATGGAGAACAGACATGTACCTCTTACAGTACTCAGTATAAGCTCCGTGGATTGCAAAATTGAATCACCAATTGGAGCTTGATCACCATTGACCTTCTGAAGGAAATAGTCAATGAAGGAAAATGGGGTAATTGCCTGCATTCTCCACTTCAATGTGCTCAGAACAAGAAGCTCCATTCTCTGTATTGTTTTGGCTTCAAATATATACTTAGATTCACCCTCCTAATTTGAAAAATAGGTCAATACATGTATGTATGTAGAATTCATAAATATTTATCTTAGTGCATGATTGGAAAAACCATCATTTCCTGGACTCAACTCTCAGAAAAAAATCAGCAATTGGATCTTCAAAATAAACTGTTCCAAACATGCAATTAATAAGTTCACCTACACATCAAATTGAAATATTTTACCTGCAAATCAAGAGATGTAGGAACATCAATCTCTTCCATTTTGGCTGCCAGAGATAAGCAACCCACAGCCAACAATTGCATTGTCCAAGCTCGTTGCTTCTGCCAATAAAAAAATCAGATAAAAAACCATTTGAGAAGACAAAATCAGATCGAAAACCTTTCCTTTTCTTTGTATACAATAATTGGCTTACTGGTAATTCATAAACAGAAAGGAAGCGGTCCAAGTAATTTATGGATAGATATGCACACAGGGGTCCAAAACCAAAGTGCTCTCGGACCTGTAAACAGATAGATTCATTCATTAGTTAGACCATAGCAAATGGCAATCGATCATCAATGGTCAATCCTTGTCGTAAAGATCAACTAGAATACCACTGATGCAAAAATTAAATGCTAATCTAGCTTTAAAAATATACACTGATAAAAGAATCCCAATCGAAAAACAACTACAAAATAAAAGGGAACCATATCCAAGTGAGTCAGATTCAGCAATTAGATAATCGCAAACAGAAAATGAGGCTCCGTCAAATCCAAATGAAAGTCTTCAAAATGAGGTAATCAGAAGCAAAAGGGAGGATTTTCACAAACCCCAATTAAGATTAGAATAAAAACAAAATAGAATCCTAAAAGAGCTAGCAAAATCAAACAAGCTCTTAAAACCAACCTTTGCAATCCAATCAATGGCCTCTTTTCTGGCCCCAATGTCCAAATCCCCACTCCTCAGTCTATTCACATAATCACCATTAGGCAAGTGATGCAATTCCTTCTCCACCATTAGTCTCAAACACTCATCAGTCGGCAACGGAAACGATTCATACGGGACATTCAAGTTCTCAATTTGACTACGGTTTCGATCATATCTCGGATGCTGCCACGTGTCCCCCAACTCCTCCACCAAACCCCCACGATCATTTTCGTCAAAAATAATGTTGTCTTCCGCACAGAGAAGGCTTGAAAAGCAATCAAAACTGGGTGCCATTGCGAACAACTCTCTCGAACAGGGAAAAGGAAGAATTAATAAATAAATAAAAGATTAAATTTTGGGACAAAAAAAGAGGGACCCCAGAACGAAAGACGCAGAGTTCAGATTAAAGATTGAGTCTTTCAGACAGAAGGAGTTGCGGGGAGGGGAGATCTCTTCTGAAATGATGATTGAAAAGAACAAACGAAGAATCAGTGAAGTAAGAACAAAATCACTATCGACCCAAGTCGTCTTTTGTTTCTCAGTCTACATATATGAGTGTGTGATTGTCATTCTCTCTCTATCCTCTCCCTCTCTTTCGCAGTTTGGCCGAAAAGACTGCTGCAAGAGAGGACCTTTTGAAGAAACTAACACCTCTTTTTAGGGTAAAAAGTAGAGAGAGAAAGAGAGAGTGCGCGTGTGACTGTGGGGTTAGGGGACAGAGGAATTGGAAGGGTTTGAGCGCCAAAGCCACAGAACTAAAGAACACTGTATATACCATTTTATTAGGTTTCCACTGATATTTATAACTTAACTCTTCTGAAATCAATTACAAGAAATAAAAAATGGTTTAGAAGACTTAAATATAGTAAATATTAATTATTATATTAATCATATTCATTTATTTCATCCAAAAAATAATCTTATATTAATTGAGATTTTATTTTAATGTTTTTTATTATTAAAAAACAAAATTCAAAGAATGGTGTTTATCATAAATTTATTTTTTAAATGTTATTAATATAATTAAATTATATTAACTAAATGTTATTAATGTTTGCATTCAGACAAAACATGTACGAGTTTTATTAATTCTTTCATAAATTAAAACGAAAATTAACCAAAATTACAGACCGTAATTCTAACTGTTAATTACTATTACTTTTTTTTACTGTACAATACAAGCATTCACCAGTTTTCAAGAAACTTGTAATAAGTTTTTGGTATTCATTTTTACTATGATGTATATACATTGTACTACATCATACTGAGAAAAATAACAAAAGGCTCTGTAGTCATGTTTGAGAGATTCATTAGTGAAAAAATCAAACCCAAACAATGGGAAATGGTGGAGATATTGAAGGGTGAATGGTTAATAAAATTGATGCTTAGATTCTTACATGTGCAAGATTTGAAGAATAGGGATAAAGAGTGACATTAATTCCTCAAAATTGTTAATAGCATTCAATTTTAGATGTTTTTGGTGTGCATATGAATTGAAGGATGATAAATTGGTTTGTAGCATGATGAGAAATCACTGACACTTTTATTTTATTTTTCTCTTTTCCTTGCCACAAATTTTCTTCAATGTGATTCGATTAAAGGAAAATATATTATCATGTAATTGCACAAGAACAACAAAATTACAGAATTTCCTTTTTCAGTGTTGAAAAAAATTACAAATGACAGATTTTTTGCATTTACATATGAAAACTCTTCTTCTCTGTTAACACACTGAAAACATCCATTTATCATACACAACTTTCATTTCCTATTATGTGTTGTATGAATAATGTGAAAACCATTGTTTATTAAAAATATTTTTAACAGATAACAAATTATAAGGTATCTTTTTAATATTTTATTAAAATATGTTACTTGTGATGTGGTCTCATGTCATGTTTATGTTTTCATTTTGGTGTTTAGATGTACAATTTTATTAAATTAATCTAAACAAATAAGTATAATTTAGTTATATTTTAGTCTTTAAAATTTGGAGTAAAAAATTTTGTAGTCTTTTAAATTAAAATGATTTATTTTAATCCTTAAAATTTAATAAAATATAATTTTGATTTTTAAACATTAAAAAAAATAAAAATATAATTTAAATTTTAATCTTTCAATTTTAAAATATTTTATTTTAGTTCAAACTATTAAAATATTTATCTTTTAAATTGAGTGATAAAAAACAAAAATATATTAAATTTCAATAATTAAACCAATAAATATTATCGCTTCATTTTTATCGTCATATGTTATAATAATACGCTTATTTTAAAATTAATACTTATTTTCTTTTAAAAATAGTTAGTATTTATTCATGTAATATATTTTTAATATTGTCTCCATTTATAAAAATTAAATTAAGAACATACAAGCAGTTAATGAGATTAACCCCTTAATATAATCATCTATTTTTTATTTTTTAAAATAACCATTGACTTTTTGTTAAAATATAATACTTAAAAAAATAATAAATTATAATATTTATTTTATAATATATAATGAATTTTATGTATTTATCACTTTTTAATTTATACATAAATAAAGAAGGATTACTAACATCTCTTAAAAAAGGTTAGTAATAAAATATATTTAATATGTTATAACAAAAAATACTTTTTATATTGTTTTAAATTGGGTAAGAAAAAAATCAATAATAATAATAATAATTATTATTATTATTATTTTGACATTACATGTAATTTTAATTTACTATAATTGATCATTTAAAAATATATAAATATATTTAATAATTTATTGATTTTATATTAAAAGATAATATATCACAATGTGTGCTGTATGAAAATTAAACTATATTGAATTCATTTAAAATTACAATTATAATAACAAATAAATTATAAGTGTATGATTAAATTATATATGTATTTTTTAAGAAGGTAAATTACCGAATGAAAGTTAAAACAATATTAAAAAAAAAACTAATGGTATATTAATATATGATGACAAATTTATGTTATAAAAAATTATTATATGAAATTACATTGTTGACACAATAATTAATACCTTACTTATCTAAATTTCACATCTTTATATCTAAATATCTTTTCATTATCTTACGTATATTAATTAATATTTTTTACTTTTAAATCTAAAGTAACCCTAGTTAATATATATATATATATATATATATATATATATATATATATATATAAAATAGTTAAATAAAGTACACAAACTAAATACATATTTCATGAAAAATTATATAATTTATCAATTTTTATTAATAAATATTCTTGGAGGTATTAATATATTAGTATGATAAGTATGGATATATAAACTGAATAGAATGTTTTGTATAATTCTAATCAAATGAATTAATATATAGTATATAAAAGATCATCGATATGAAAAATACTGGTTTATTTTAAAATTACAATTAAAGGATAAATAAAGTTACCAATAGTTATATTTTACGGAAAAAAAATGGTAATATTTGAACATCATATTAAATTCAACAATTTAAATAGTAATATAGTATCTAAATAATATATATAATATTAATTAAAAATTAAAATTCAACCTTTAAAAGAACATTATAACTAACCAAATATTTACTTGGCCTGGTTATTAAGAATGACATATTTATTTTTTTGAAATGTATTTTTACTAAAAATAATACATTTTAAGTTTTTACAAAACTGTTAATCTTGACGGTGGTCTGATATAATATTATATAAATAACTTATTAATAATAACAAATAAATTTATGATAAAAATAATTTCATTTAAAAAATGTTAATATTTATATTTGTGAGTGAATTATTGTACTTACTTATATTTTAGTCCCTATTTATAAGTATAAAAGTTAATTAGTTTATTATATAATTATAAAACTTAAATAAAGTAAGATAACAAAAGCAGATATAAATTTAAAAAATATAAACATTTATAATATTATTAATATAATTTGTTAGATAAATATCATAAAATTTAAAAAATTCATTATATATAATAGCTTATAATTAAATAAAAATTTATTTTTATTATCAGTTTACTAACCTTAATTAAGTTTCCTTAATTTATATTTATGTAATTTATGAAATTAAAAAATGGTATTATATTTTAATAAATTAAACTCATTATTTTATATATTTATTACATAATTAAGACATTTTTAAAATCAATTTATTATTTATATATTTTAACTTCAATATGTTAAACTTAAATTTAAAAATGTAATAAATAAGTAAATAATTCAGCCTCAAACTTAATAATAATAATAATAATAATAACAATAATATAATTTGTTGATGTTGTTGAAGTCAGAAATAAAATTTTAAATTAAAATATTAAAAAATACATTTATAACAAAAACATTTATCCTTATAAGATATGAATTGAATATAGGAGGACCATTGAGAGTGAGTGGGTGTTATTCTCAGCATTTTGGTCTTTCTCTCACCCACCCACCCATTCTATTGCACTTCCACTGGCTCTTATTTCCCTCCACTTTTCCCCGCCACAAAACACTTTTAGTTGCGTAAAACTTAACTCACATTACCACAAACCTTTCAAAATCACAATAATCATCACTCCACACTATTCAATTTTCCTTTTTTTTTTTTTTAACTTTAAAAAACAACTCTATTATTATGTAAAAGTACATGTATAGATTATTAAATATCTGTATTATTTGTTGAGTTTTATGAGAAATTTTAATTCAACGTCAAAATATTCTTAGTGATATTAGTTGAGTTTTTTATATTTATTTTTCATTTTTTATTTTTCCTTTTTAGGTTTATTTTATTTGATTTATTTTGTTTGTCTAAAAATAAATTTATTAATTAAATTATTAAATAATGTCATCTTTAACTATTGTATGATTCATATAATCGATTTAACAATTGTTATGAATTTAAGTTAAAAACAAACAAATTATATATATAAAAAAATCAGAGTATTAGCATTGTATTATGATAAGAAATTTACTTTAGTTATTCATTTATTTTTATTTTTATGAAAAATAAATATTAGTTGCAAGAATACAACTCTTTCATTTATTTAACACAAGTGGTTAAATGAAATAAAAAAAAACTTAAGTATGTTTTCAGTAGATAGAGTGAAAATGATTTGACTTTGATTTTTATTTTTATTTTTATTTTTATTTTTAATCTCTTAAAATTTAAAATTAATAATTTTAATCTTTAGAAAATAAAAATTTTAATTAAGACGACCAAAAATTGGTTAATCAATCCATAAATAAATATAACACAGATAAATGTTGAAATAAAGTAAATCATACAAGTGAACTTACTCTATTATTATTTTTTATT